GAAGGGAAGGAAGGAAAGGTAAAGGAAGAGGAGGAAAAAAGGAAAATGGGAGGAGGAAAGAGAAATAAAGGTGCAGGAGGAATGAAGGAAGGAAGGAAAAATGGAGACAGGAGAAAGGAAGGAAACAGAAGGGGGAAGAATTTTAGATACAGGAGGGATGGAGGAAAAATGGAGATGCAAGGAAGAAAGGAAGGAAGAGGCAAAGGTGGAGGAGGGAAGAAAGAAAGAAAGAAAAAGAAAGGAAGGGAAGACAAAGGAGACAGAGGGCGGGAGGAAGGAAGAAGGGAAGGAGAGAAGGAAAGGAAGCAGAGGAAGAAAGGCACGTGGGAAGGAAAGGAAAAAGAAAGAAAATCCAAGGCAGAGGGAGGGGAGAAGGAACTTCATTCTGTGACCGTCATAAAAGTGAATAACGTAACCATAACCTACACTGCGCATCTCCCCTTTAAAAAAAACCCCATTTATTTCCAGAAGACAACAATCCAGAAATCCATGTTCGATCCCCATCGGTACCAACTCCCCCTCACCCACCCCTCAAGTTACCAATCGCCCTGCAAAGCGTTGGATAAAATACGTATAAAAAAATACATTCTTGGGGAGAAATCACCCCCCCCCCCCCCCACCCCATCCCTTTGCATGGAAAAGACCCCCGACTCAAAATAAAAATGCAACCAAGAAAAAGACCAGCATTGGGAGGCATTCTCCACAGGACATTTATTTATTGTAGGTTTTTTTCATTTTTGTCTCCAAATATCAATTTCTTTTTGCGTTTTCTTTTTTTCACAGCATCATCAAACCCCTTGCTTGTATCCCAGATTGGATCTTAAACCCCCTCCCCACCCTCCCTTTATTTTATTTTATCATTCCTGCTGTGCAGGGCTGGCAGTTTTAACTCAAGGAAAACTCCCTTCCCACCCAATCTGTGTCTGGCTTCGGGCTGGGCTCCATTTTATTCCTCTTTTTAATTCTTTTTTTCATTCCCTCCTTTGGGCAAGTTACATGTCTCCACAGCGACACCTGCTGGCCAAAACGGAGAGAGGCAGCCCCTTGTCTTCCCCTCCCGGTCCTACCCCCCCCCTCAAAAAACACCCCCATTGTAGCTTTCTCTATTCTAATATTTTCCTCATCCTTGGGTGGATTCAAGGACGGGGAACTTCAACTCCCAGAATTCCCCTGCAGGATGTGTTCATGAACTTGCAGGCCGGGGAGGGATTCTGGGAGTTGAAGTTCCCCATCTTAAAAGTGACTATCGATTACACCATTGTCCTCATTCTTGGGCCACTTCGAAAGACGAGGGGGAACTTCAACTCCCAGAATTCCCCCGCAGGATGTACTCACAGGCTGGAGGGATTCTGGGAGTTGAAGTTCCAATTGGTCTTAAAAAGTGACTTTATCTATTACACCATTTTCCTCATCCTTGGGCCGCTTCAAAAGACGAGGGGGAACTTCAACTCCCAGAATTCCCCCATAGGCAGGCTGGGGGGATTCTGGGAATTGAAGTTCCCACTGGTCTTAAAAGTGACATTATCGATAACACTGTTTTCCTCATCCTTGGGCCACTTCAGAAGATGAGGGGGGGACTTCAACTCCCAGAATTCCCCTGCAGGATGTGCTCGTGAACTCACAGGCTGGGTGGGGGGATTCTGGGAGTTGAAGTTCCCATTGGTCTTAAAAAGTGACTTTATCTATTAAACCATTTTCCTCATCCTTAGGCCGCTTCAAAAAAACGAGGGGGAACTTCAACTCCCAGAATTCCCCCACAGCCAGGCTGGGGGAATTCTGGGAGTTGAAGTTCCCCCTCGTTTTTTTGAAGCGGCCTAAGGATGAGGAAAATGGTTTAATAGATAAAGTCACTTTTTAAGACCAATGGGAACTTCAACTCCCAGAATTCCCCCAGCCTGGCTGTGGGGGAATTCTGGGAGTTGAAGTTCCCCCTCGTTTTTTTGAAGCGGCCTAAGGATGAGGAAAATGGTTTAATAGATAAAGTCACTTTTTAAGACCAATGGGAACTTCAACTCCCAGAATTCCCCCAGCCTGGCTGTGGGGGAATTCTGGGAGTTGAA